CTGATGAGGTTTGACTTCCGACTAAAGCCTCGCCCACACTCCCTGCAGACAAAGGGCTTCTCCCCTGAGTGTGTCCTCTGGTGATTGATGAGGATTGACTTCTGACTAAAGCCTCGCCCACACTCCCTGCAGACAAAGGGCTTCTCCCCTGAGTGTGTCCTCTGGTGACTGATGAGGATTGACTTCCGACTAAAGCCTCGCCCACACTCTCTGCAGACAAAGGGCTTCTCCCCTGAGTGTGTCCTCTGGTGCCTGATGAGGTCTGACTTCTGACTAAAGCCTCGCCCACACTCCCTGCAGACATAGGGCTTCTCCCCTGAGTGTCCCCTCTGGTGTGTAGTGAGTTCTGACTTCTGACTAAAGCCTCGCCCACATTCTCCTCCCCTGACTCTCACAACTCTTGAGATTTCTACCCCCAGCAATAATTTCCCTGTGCCCTCGGGATTCACTTTCTGCCTTGGGCTGGCCTCTGGCTCCGTCACTTGGTTAGCCTCCCTAGAACTCCCCATTTGTCCTTTGGCTAGGCTGGAGAAGGCCTTGGCAATGCCCTCCTGCCTTGTCCTTTCAACCACAGGTTTGGACCTATCTCTAATGTCTTCCCTCTCTGCCTTGTCGTTCCAGGTGAAGGGCTCAGAATCCTGCTGCTTCTGGCCCCCTGGATGGGGGTCCTCTGGTTGGAGGTATTTTCCGGCAGGTGTCTCTGGGGAGGACTCAGAGGGGTGGTTGTGCTTCACGTGTTGTCTGAGGAACTTATGACTGGAGAAGGCCAGAGGGCAGGACGGACAGGCATGGATCTGTGGCTTTGGTTCTCCTGGAAGAGAAAGACATCGGTCAGAGTCAGTGTAGACAGGGCTGCCTGGCCATGGACTTTGTCTCATGGAAAGACCTCCCACAGCCATTCACAGCCTGTTCACAACACACAGTCTGTCTCCACAAAGGCCTCCTTTGCCCTCCATTTTTACTCATTAATCTTCTTCACGAATCTGGAACTTTCCATCAAGGCCCTTCTCCACATTTCAGCCTCCAAGTAGGAACTGGAGGAAGCCTGCCCTTGACCTATTGGACACTGCAGTCCCTTTCCCACGCTTGACGGGCATCTTCCAAGCCTGTCACTACCCACATAGGGTGTCGGCAGCAACTTCTTTCTCCTGAGAGATGCTGCTCGTGGCAACCTAGGCAGAAACCTCCCTAGTGGCCTTTCCTATGAGGGGGAGGGACTCACTGCATCAAGAGCCCTCAGCCCAGAGGTCCCACATGGGAAGGTGGTGTGGAGCAGTGCTTAGAGAGTGTGTGTGTGAATGATGGCACGTGTGGTAGTTAAGGTTATGTGTCAACTTGACTGGTCCTGGTTCTCAGTGGCTGGGCAGTTAGGTGTAGTTCGTCCTCATGTTGAGACTGGTCATCAACCCCATGGTGGAATCTACTGGGGCAGCTGAGTAGCTGCCTTAGGGGTGTGGTCTGCTTCCAGTGTGCAAGGAGAAGCTTTGAGAAAGGGGTCTAGCTTCTTGGCACATCCAGCCCCTGCATTTGGCCGAGTCATCAGTGAGTGGCCTGCCATGTCGTCTGCTGATCTTGGGAGTTTTGGGACTTGAACTAGTGGCCTGCCTTGTTGCTTCATAATTTTGGGACTGTGCCATCTTATTTGTCAACCTTGTTTGTCAGCCTCGGCAGCCAGCAGCTGCCTGAGTTCAGAGAAGCCTCCAGCTTCAGTGGGCTGGAAGCAAGAGGCAGAGCTGAAGCCCAAGGTCGAGGAGCCTTCACCCAGCCCCTGGAGCTGGCACTTTGAACTCAGATTGATAGACTCCTAAACTGCAAGAGCCACCGCCCGTCTGTCAGTTTGTCATACCGGGATAGCTTGTGTGTTGCTGTGAGGCTGAGCCTATGCCACCAGTGTGTCAAAGGCCAGCAGGGTCACTCATGGTGGACAGGCTTCAGCAGAGTTTCCAGGCTAAGACACACTCAGAAGCACGAAGGGGCCATCCACCTCTCAAAGGATTGACCAGTGAAAACCTTACAACAGTGAAACACTGTCTGATGTATTATTGGAAAACTTCATGAAGAGCCCTGAAACACTGTCCAAGATAGTGGGGGAGGATGAGCCCCTCAGGTCGGAAGGAACTCAAAGTGCGACTGCGGAAGAACTGCCTCCTCAGAGCAGAGCCGACCTTAGTGATGTGGATGGAGTAAAGCCCTCGGGACCTCCATTTGCTGATGTAGCAAGACTCAAACTGGGGAGAAACAGGTGCAAACATCCATTCATAATCAGAACATGGAATGTACAAAGTATGAATCCAGGAAAACTGAAAGGTGTCAAAAATGAAATGGAACACACAAAGATCGATATCTCAGGGATTAGTGAGCTGGAATGGACTGGTTTGGGCCATTTTGAATCAGACAGCCATGTGATATACTGTTCCCAGAATGACAAATTGAAGAGGAAGGACATGCCATTCATCGTCACAAAGAACGTTTCATATCTATCCTGAAGCAGAATGCTGCTAGTGATAGGACAATAGCCATATGCCTACAAGGAAGACTAGTTAATACGACTATTACTCAAATTTACGTACCAACCACCAAAGCCAAAGATGAGGAAATTGTAGACTTTTATCAACTTCGGCAGTCTCAAACTGACCAAACGTGCAATCGAAATGTGTTGATTTATCACTGCTGATTGGAATGCAAAAGTTGGAAACAATGAATAATCACTGGTAGTTGGAAAATATAGCCTTGGTGATAGAAATAATACTGGAGGTCCATGATAGAATTATGCAAAACCGATGACTAATTCATTACAAGTACATTTTTTCAACAACACAAAAGGTGGCTATAAACGTGGACTTCCCCAGATGGAGTGCACAGGAATCAGATCGCCTACATCGGCGGAAAGAGGTGATGGAGAAGCTCAATGTCTTCAGTCAAAATGACACCAGGGGCTGACTGTGAAACAGACCATCAAGTGTTCATATGCAAGTTCAAGATAAAGCCGAAGACAATTAAAACAAGTCCATGAGAGGCAAATATGGCCTTGATTATATCCCTCCTGAATATAGAGACAATCTAAAGAATACATTTGATGCATCGAACACCAATGACTGACAACCAGAGGAATTGTGGGATGACATCAAGAACATCATCCATGAAGACAACAAAAGGTCATTAAAAAGACAGGAGAGGAAGAAAAGACAACAATGGATGACAGAAGAGACTCTGAACTTACCTTTGAGTAGCTAAAGCAAATGGAAGAAATGACAACATAAAAGAGCTGAACAAAAGTTTTCAAAGAGCAACCTGAGAAGACAAAACCAATTATTACAATGAAATGTGCAAAGACCTGGAGTTAGAAAAGCAAAAGGGGGGAACACACTTGGCATTTCTCAAACTGAAAGAACTGAAGAAAAAATTCAAGCCTCAAGTTGCAATATTGAAAGATACTGTGGGCAAAAACTTGAATGATGCAGGAAACATCCAAAGAAGATGGAAGGAATACACACAGTCACTTACCGAAAGGAACCGGTCGATCTTCATGCATTTTCAAGAGGGGGCATATGACCAAGAACCAACGGTACTGAAGGAAGAAGTCAAAGCTGGACTGAAGGAATTGGTGAAAAACAAGGCCCCAGAAACTGATGGAATACGCATTGAGATTTTTCAACAAATGGATGCCACGCTGGAGGCACTCACTTGTCTATACCAAGAAATCTGGAAGACAACTACCTGGCCAACAGACTGGAAAAAAACAAGTCCACCTTTGTACCCATTCCAAAGAAAAGTTGATCCCACAGAATGTGGAAATTATCAAACAATATCATTAATATCACACACAGGGAAAATCTGCTGAAGATAACGTAAAAATGGTTGCAGCAGTACATTGACAGAGAACTTGCAGAAATGCAAGCAAGCTGGATTCAGAAGAGGATGTGGAATGAGGGATATCATTGCTAACGTCAGGTGGATCTCGGCTGAAAACAAAGAATACCAGCAAGATGTTTGCTTGTGTGTTATTGACTCTGCAAAAGCATTCAATTGTGTGGATCATAACAAATTAAGAATAACATTGAGAGTAATGGGAATTCCAGAACACTTGATTGCGCTCATGAGGAACCTGTACCTAGACCAGGAGGCTTTCGTTAGAACAGAACAAGGGGATGTTGCATTGTTTAAAACCAGAAAGGGAGTGCATCAGGGTTGTATCCTTTCACCACACTTATTCAATTTTCATGCTGAACAAATAAGCCAAGAAGCTGGACTATTCGAAAAGTTGTGTTACCAGGATTGGAGGAAGACTCCTTAACAACCTGCGATATGTAGATGACACAACTTTGCTTGCTGAAAGTGAGGATGACTTGAAGCACTTACTGACGAAGATTAAAGACTTCAGTCTGCAGTATGGATTGCATCTCAACATAAAGAAAACAAAAATCCTCACAACTGGACCAATAAGCAGCATCACAGTAAATGGAGGAAAGAATGAAGTTGCTCAAGATTTCATATTCCTTGGTTCCACCATCAACCCCAATGGAAGCAGTAGTCAAGACGTCAGACAACATATGGCACTGGGCAAATCTGCTACAAAAGACCCCTGGAAATTGCTGGTGAGGAAAGATGTCTCCTTGAATACTAAGGTACACCTAACCCAAGCCATGGCATTTTCGATTGCCTCATATGCATGTGAGAGCTGGACAATGACTAAGGAAAACCGAAGGAGAGTTGATGCTTTTTGAGTTGTGGTGTTGGTGAAGAAAGTTCAGTGCACCACGGACTGCCAAAAGAACGAAAAAATCTGTCCTGGAAGAAGTGCAGGTGGAATGCTCCTTGGAAGCGAGAATGGCCAGACTTCATCTGACTTACTTTGGTTAGGTTGTTAGAAGGGACCATTGCCTGGAGAAGGATATCATGTTTGGTAAAGTGGAGGTTCAGCAAAAAAGGGGAAGGCCCTCAGCAAGAGGCACCGATACAGTGGCTGCAACAATGGGGTCATGAGTAGTGGGGACCATCAGGCTGGCACAGGACGGGGCAATGTGTCACTCTGCTGTACACGGGATTGCTATGAGTCAGAGCTGACTCGTCAGCACCTAACAACGACGACAAACTGTAAGAGAAAAACTCCTGGTTGGTTAAGGCCATTCATTTGTGGTATTTTCTGTTAGAGCACCACTGTTGTTGTTGTTGTGTGCTGTCGAGTCAGACCTGACTCATAGCGACCCCTCCTGGGGTTTCCGAGGCAGTATCACTACGGAAGCAGATTGCCCCATCTTCCTTCCGAGGAGTGGCTGGTGGGTTTGAACCGCCAGCCTTCTGGTTAGCAGTCAAGTGCCTTAGGCATTACGCCACCAGAGAGCTA